ATAATTGTATAATATCAATATGTATTGGTATTTTGTTAAAGTCGCTAAAAACGTTAATATGCCCTTATGGTAATAAATAATAATTTAAATTTAATATCAATTATACTGATAAAGTATTAACCAAAGGAATGGTATTAAACATTGTAACCGGTATCTTGGTTGGTTATGTGATAATGGTATTGTGATAAGGGAAACTGCTCCGAGGGTGCTGTCTCCAGACGCTCGTATCACACTATACTAGGTCTTTATTCCTCCACCCCGCACTAAAATAAGGACCGCGGTGTAGCGGGAATCAATACAATTTTTTTTTGATATATGTTTTTTTTTATTTTTCAATTTTTGAAACTTAGTTTCTTACGGCGCAATGTGAACGGAGGGACCCTAGCCCAGAAAAACCGTTCGTAACGAAAATAAAAGCGTTAGTTGCTCTTACTCTTTACAGCTTTCTATAATATACTTCTGTCCCTCTCGCTCTACGCCGGCTCTACGTTGTTATTATATATCTACCGGTAGCCGTCGATAAAACACACACAATAGAAAAAAAGGTTGCAGGTGGCTGGAAACCCAAGATACTATTAATATTAATTATACTACCTAATTWAAAAAAGTAGATACACATTTATGTTTTTATTGTTTTGAATTAATTTTATTTAATATGTATAAATAAATCATCTTATCATTTTATATTATTTTATTTTTATATTATTTTATATTCGAATTGGTGTATGAAAGTGAAAAATCTATTTACAAAGCTGTAAAAAAATTGTATGAAAACGCTTTATCACCGACATYATRTTTTGAAATAGTTAAAGACAACCGACTAGGTGGTGCAAAAGTGATAGCAACTAAATTCATCCCCAAAAGGTATAAACTAACTGGGTTAACTGGTAGGCACTATCTTATATCAAAATTTTTTATAAAACATGGCGTAAACGATTTCTCCATACTCACAAGCCAACTCAGTAAAAAAGATAAATATTTCTTGGACCCTGTTCATTTGTCAATCATGACTGTAAACCAAATACGGTGTGGACCTCAAGAAACAAAATAGAAACTTGTGTAGAAACTGTTAGAGATATTAACAAAGATGAAGAAATAACAGTGTATTATTCACCAAATTATTTTGGAGTCGATAACGATGAGTGCAAATGTAGAACATGTGAAAAGACACATTTCGGATTTTTCAAACAAAATCGTAAGCAACTTTATAAGGTTTTTTTATAGTGCATGCATAGCATATGTTGAATATATATTTAATTAGATTATTTTTTTATAGCATGTTCTAATGATACTGCATCTGCATCAATATGACTGATAGCAAACAGCCTTCCATTGAACCTGCTGAAATTATGAACGGTAATTTTTAATATTATTTTTTCTTGTGAACCTACAACRTGTATGGTAAATTTAACAATTTGTTTATAGTGTCCTTAGATGAAACAGATACAGAAAGAGATCTGAGAGTAATGAGTCTCATACCCAAGAACATGATTTTCTTGCGTCAAATTCTAAAAACCTGTCTTCTAATAAATCAAATGAAGTTGAACAAAGTATATTTGTATAATATATATGTATATATATAAATGTAAACCTACAACATGAATATATATWWAATTAGATTATTTGTTTGCTGTAGCTACAGAAGATAGAAATAAGGAATCAGAGAATAATTAATACATGTGTCTAGAATGTGTGAAAGACTTTAAACACCGATCAATATATTTAAGACATATGCAAATTCATTATCCAGCATCGATTAAATGTCCAGTGTGCCCAAAGTTTTTTAAAAGGAAAGATAATCTAAAGGTATATATTTACTTTACCAAAGACTAATTATCTTTAACATTTACCGGTTTAATCATG